GAGGACCTATCCACATCATCATTTACCCAGAATGCTTTGCGTGTAAATAAAATGACTCCGTCCCTGTTAAAATATGTTTTAAAAAATTTACAAAACTAAACAGCCTACAGTATTTTTTACAGTCTTAAAATAAATGTTTATCAAATAAAGTCTAATGCTACAACTAAGATTTCACCAAAAACACTATTTCTTAACTTAACCTGATCTTAGTTTAAAACTCCAGCATTAAAGGTGGAGGGTGTTAATTCAAGGAATGCTAGGCTGTTAAATGATTTAACCCTTTTTTTGTTTTTATTGCTCCAGATATAGATACAGTCTAAAGGCGCTGACCTAATTATTCCAACCAGTTMAGTGGTTCATGGGTACACAATCTGCCAATTTGACACAACCTTTGTTTTACTTTCTTTTAAAAGAGTGTGCTGAAGCTCGTAAAGCACTAGAATCATTACAGCCCTTTGCACATACAGCTGAAAACGCAGGTTTTTAGGGTCACTSTTCAGCCAAATGATCTTTTTTTTTCTCGAGTTGTAGTCCATTAGCAAGTTTGAGGCTAATGGAAAAAGAAATGGGATAAAGTTATCACAGAACAGCTCTGTGGAGTTATTAACAGCCGTTAAAGGTTTTACAAGAACACAAAAAGCTTTACCAGCTAAAGGCTGTAGATTTGGTTTATATACTGTTCTTTTGTTGGCTACATTTACTGTAACACGTGTCAAACTTAAGGCCCGTTGGGCTAAATGTGGTTCTCCACAGMATTTTATATGGTCCCCCAGAGCTTCAAAGATGTATTAATGTTTTTAAAATAAGCATATGATGCTTTAGGTAATGCATACAGCAGATATGTGGTTGGGATGAAATAATTGAAACTGGATAGAGCTGAAARCTCAAATTACATTAATCAGTATTAAATAATTGGCTAAAAGTGATGATATGTTTCCTTGAATGAATGCATTTYTAAATGTCAGTACCTCTGTATCAACTGGTTTTGTTTTTTTATCTAACCCTWACGACCTCAGATGTACCCAGACTGGGTGAGCGAACAGAGAGAAGTGTTTTATCACACCAAAGTCACTCCTGAGGAGAAACCATTGATCTGTGAAACCTCAGTTTTAGATCTCTCCTCTGTTCTGGAAGTAACGTATGCTGACGTCATATTTCTGATTTTTGAGATGATGCTGTTTGATTTAATGAGGCTTCTGTTTTTTAATTAACACCACTGTTAACTAAAACTTGTTGGTTTGTTCTGAGGGGTTTGAATTAAATTAACCAGGGTTGGGATGGATGTCCTTGTTTGGTTTAGCATTTAAAAGCTGTTACATTTAGGCAAAAAATATCTATTTYTAGGGAAAAAAATTCATCTTAAATTATTTTTTTCCATTTGACCCAGTGACCTGAGGTGTTTAAAGCGCCCGGTGTGATCCAGGAGGGTCGGGCTTCAGAGATGTTTGCATGTTTAACTGAGCAGCACACCTCTTCAAAGGTAAGTCAGGCGCTGATCAAAGCTAATTTTGTGTTGATTTTTCTTCATGAAAACCAGTCGGACTGCATGATCTGTAACGGTTTGAGTTTTAGACAGGTGTCACGTTTTGATGCCTCGATGTTGGCTCTTTGTACAATTGTGAAGCAAAAGTCAGTAAATTGTATTTAAACTAACTGTGAGGTTAGTTTTCTCAGCTGGTTTATTGTTGTAACAATAACTGCTCAATAAGAGACCACAGATGTTGGGGTCATGTGTCTGACTGAGCCTGAAGCCTCTGTGAGAATATGACTGAATGTCTGTCAGACGTCTGTGGAGATGTAAAGAAGCTCTAACAACAACAATAAAAATAATATTTGAAGGCGCTTTTCTTAATGCTCAAGGACACCGTACGATAAAATACAGTACGACAAAATAAAACTACAAATAAAATCACAATAAAGCATCTTACATAACTTAGAGGTGATGAGGTGGAGGTCACTCTGTCGCATGTGCCTTTCATCGTACACTCACCGGCCACTTTATTAGGTACACCACGCTAGTAACGGGTTGGACCCCCTTTTGCCTTCAGAACTGCCTCAATTCTTCGTGGCATAG